TCTCTCAAAAATTGATTAGGGTATCTCCCTGAACATCAATTTAATTCAAACACCATAAATTGCTACAGTAAAGCATGAAGTTGAAACATCCAGAGAAAACTAAAAAGTCGTAAGAATTTTGATTCACTTACCCTTCCACCAATTGCAGACCAAGGAATCAAGGGGCCAATGTTTGGGTGTGGTCTCCAATTCCAAACCAAGTCAAGTAGTCTCCAATTCCAAGCTAAGTCAAGTGGTCTCAATTCCAAGCCAAGTCAAGGAGACCTAATTCCAAGCCAAGTCAAGTGGTCCCAATCTCAAACCAAGTCAAGTGGGACTCAACTCCACAAGGTCTAGCAAATAAAGAAATTGTTATTTATAATGGTAGTAAATAAATGAAAGTTTTGGTTTGGAATAAATGCTTAGCCAATTAATGCAGGAAGTTTGAATTCTCTTACCACGCACTTGCGTGATCCAAAAACAGCCAGGTCGAGTTCCTTGTCAACTGGGTCAAGCTCCTTTTTAGCCCGGTCAAGAAGCTCAAGCTCCTCTTCCCAACTTTATGGCCTTATACTATCTATATAATAATATTTAAACTAGGTATAATATATATACATATATATGATGCATATGGACTCATTAGAATTCTAAGTCACCCAACATCGGTGGATTATGTTCAATCAAAACTAGAAACCATATGTGAAGCCAAGTCCTCGGAGGTCCAAGCCCAACCCGCGGAAGTAGACCCTGTTGTGAATTAGGAACTAACTCACTCCCCTTTAGACCTTGTTGTTGATGGACTTTGGACAAGACTCAATGATGGATGAATCTTACACACACACAAAAAATAAATCAAGCACAGATGACACAAGTGTTTATAGAGGTTCAGCAATTTGCCTACATCCTCCTTGGTGATCCCCTTGAGAAATTTCACTAATGAAGATAGGTTACAACTTTAGTTTACACAGAAACCCCCTTAGAACACTACCCTCACAATCTGTTTCTCTCACACCCTTGCTCACACCTTGATTCACTTCAGAATTCTCTCTTCTACTTGACTCACTAGTTTCCAGCTACTTCTCTTCCAACTCTCTCTAACCCACTTTGCAGACTTGCTCCCTCTTTCCTTTAATACACAAGCCTCTAGACTTGAGAGGAGGCACTTGCTTTGTCTCCCACGTTCTGCCCTTGAATACCTGACCTGGACCACAGGTTAGGCTAGCCACAAGCTATGTATTGATGGCTACATGTCCAGCCACCCTATATAGAACCATAGGGTAGCTACACAAGTCAACAAATGTCCTTCAATGCTCTCTCAATCCTCCCAACTGATTGCCAAACTTCCTCTGACTCAAAAGTGACCCCTAGGGTCCTTGCAAGAAGGTGGGAGGCGATAGCCTTTGAAAATAGAGTTGAAAACTCGAGAAAATCGAAACAGCACGTGATGGGCGACCGGTCGCTGGCTTCTTTCGACTGGTCGCTTTTTGGTAGAGTCGTAAGCGACCGGTCGCTTGAATCTTGAGACCGGTCGCCAGAAGGTTTTGCTCCAGACTTCGAATCTACATGAAAACGACCGGTCGCTTGCTTCGTGCGACTGGTCGCTTTTAGGCAGAGTCTCCTGCGACCGGTCGCTTGAATCTAGCGACCAGTCGCTTTCTGTTTTGTCTCCGAGCCTTGTATCCTTTATGCGAGCCAATTTTCACAACAGACCCAAAACCTCTAGATGTTTTTATGCACATGACGAGATCCATCCAAGGAAAGCAATTAAAGAAATTGATGTCAATCCGGAACATTCCTAAGGAGGAGAGAATCAAGTGATTAGATTTGCAATTCGATGATCTCATTCGAATCAATTCCATGAATTTTGGAAGCCACACAAGCAATGATTTTGAACAAAGTTGACCTTTGGCCATTTGATGGCCAACTCGCGGGCTGACAGATGCCCCTATATATACCTCTCTAGATGAAGAGCAAAGGAGACTGACATCAGACACAAAAACCTACTTATTGCTTTACTTTTAATTTTTATCGAATTTTATTTAAGTTTAATTTAATTTCAGATTGCTTTATTTTATCATCTTTATAGCTAATATCATTCTTGTTTCATTCTTACTTAAATTTACGTTTATTGTTGCTTCGATCTTATTTTTGCATTTATTTTCTTGTTATTTAGTGGCTTGGTGGCTTGGTGTGCCTCATACTATGTAGGAGTGCATGTACAATTCGATTTGAAGGGTGCAACAAATTCAAGTGCAAAAAAGAAGACACCAACAAGCAGGGGTAGAGGTGGTTCATCTGCCGCAGCTGAGAAAAAAGGCGGCCAAGGTTCAGGGGCTAGTGGAAAGCGAAAGAGATGAAGAGAGATGAAAGAAGAGACGTTGTCTTTCCTTCTTCCTGTATTTGGCACGTTTTATAAGAAAATGTAAATAGATTTTTTCTCCGCACATAAACATTTGAGATATTTAGTCATATATCCATTCTTAGCACTAAAACTATAAATAAACCCTACACCATTTAATATCTATAAACAAACCCAAAAAAAACCCAAAAAATGACAGCTGGCCCTATCGAATTTAATTTTGATTATTAAATTACTTTGATACGACATTGAGTGTTTTATGCTTTTTTATGAGGTTTTGGAGTTGGGTTTGTTTTAAGTAATCAATGGCAGTTTTGTAATTTAAAAGAAGTTAAAACCCTTTTTGTTATGTTGTAAATGAACTTTGGGTGTGTTTCTAAAGTCCATTTCATATAGGTTTTTTTTTTTATAATTTGGGCTCTTATATTGGGTATAATAGTGAATCTCCCTAAACATTTTTGGTAGGTCACTTGGTGAGGAATGGTAGGATCTTCGGTTGTAGTGTTGCACAAGGTTACTGTTGATACTATTGAATTCAACTCCAAGATTTATCTTTTGCCTTTAGTAGCATTTTATTTTCATCAATGCACTAGATAATGGTTTTAGTAGATTAACTTGTACATGGTGGTTTGATATAGTGTGTCAGGTGACAATTCTCATTGAGTAATCTGAGTACCAGAACTTCTACAAAAATCACTTGCCATAAATAACCAATTCATAAAATATGTTTATCTTTTTCTAATCTCACCATGAGAAATATTAATTAATTTGCCCTAACAGAAGTAATGCAAAGTATTGGTTTGTGTTCAGCTTTGTGGGTTAATACTTTGTTTTTAAAAAATTTTGCTGGTGGTTAATCTCTGGTTAAGCTTAATATTTAGGGAGGGGTGTGTTTTCTCACACACAAATACCAAAGTGCCATAGAGGTTTGAACATGAGACTATTGGTCTGCAAGTGCAGGTCTTTTTTCACTAGTCTCCAAATCAAGTCATGCTTAAAGAAATACTAATAGGGGATTTTTCTTTCATGCGTTTTATAGATGTCAAACTTTGTTCAGCTGATAAAAGTAAAACATCAAAGCTCATCATGGTGATCGAAAACCAGATGCATCCAAATTGCAAGGCATGCATTTCTCTTTGTTGTAATGAGCATCCCTCTCATACCCACCATAATAATCCTAAGCATTAATGTTGTTAATTAGATAAATCCATACATACATAAAACGAGCATAATAACTAATAGTAGCTAGTAGGAATTATATCCCAACAATTCAACAAGAACGAACAAAGTAGTAATATTCTCACTCTCATAGCAATACTACAAATAATAGGACAAAACAATATTGGTAAACACATGAGTGGTCCATATAGTTCTCCAGATATCCCTAAAATAGATCTAGCATCTAGGTATGCAACACCATATGAAAGGCTCATATCATATGTGATTATGAACCTTTATTTAACTGCATATGGATATAGTAGTACCACAATACTGTCCGGCTGGGGAACGGAAACCGTCAATATGCCACTGATAATACGCCAATATAATTGTCGCCAACAAAACATACTAACATGTTATCGATAGATTTTCAACAATATCGATGCACATTCATTATTTCAACAATATCGATCCACAACCATTATTTAATAAAGAACTGATGACTTGCATAGAGAACTTCTGAGATATTCATCAGAGACATATATGTATACACCATTTTTATTAAGGGGTGGTGGTTATTGAAGGTGGAGAGAATGGAAATATGGGAGTCGATGGGAAATTTGGAGGTGAAGTAATAATAGGGGGAGGCAACCTGTATTCTGGCCATTGAGGTGTGGGGGGCAGAGGAGGAAACTTCAGGTTAGGGATCTTGGGCAGCTTTAAACGAGGAAAGGTAGGGGCTAAGAGTTTTCGAGGGGCGACGAAAGCCGAATGTGTGCTCGAAAGTGATGAAGCGATGACAAAGATAGCTATGACAAACGATTTCCAAGTTGCCATCTTAGTTTGTGGAAATAAAGCTTATGAAATTTGATGTGGACGAGAAGACCAGCCTATGGTTATAATTTATAACGTTGATTCCAGAGGGAACAACCCCATTTATTTTTGGTTTTAAATGCTGTAAAATTCTGGTGAAAAATAAAAATATGTCAGATGCCGATATGGGTCAAAATTTAGAATAGTATAGTACTAATTTGTAGTTTTCCATTAAAACTCTCGCAGTGGTAGTTACCTACCTATCATTGTCTTGGTTTCTATTTTAGCTTTGCCATGCCATTCTTTACAAACCAGATATTTAAAAGCCAAAGAGGGGATGAGATGTAAAGTTATAGGAGTTTGTAAATTTTTTGGTTAAAGTAGCGCTCGCCCCCTTGCACCTGAGTTCGATCCCCTTGCTTCCACATTAGAATAGTTTAGAATATTTCTTTGTGAAAAAAAAAAAAATTTGACAAGTCATATAAGTTCAAAGAGGCACATGATCAACAAGCACATGTGGACTTGATTGGATAAAATTGTTGGAATTTAGGAGGTGTGTGATGAGTTTTTGTGACGCTTTGATACCACTTGTTGGATTGTAGGGTGATTGTGAGTGGTGTAGCTATGATACCATTGTTAATTTATGCGATGAAGGAGTTTATGACTATAGACAATCTGGAATCCACCAGGATGGAATGAGGCAACCTCAAGCATTGTCCAATTTGTGGGAAATAGCAGCTATTGTGAACACTACTTAAAAATTACTTCTTGAAGGATAATCTTGTTCTTTATTCCCCTTCGAATTCTTTCATCCTCAAAAACTACAACGTGCGGAATGATATATATATAAGCCTTGCAGGCAGCTGTGTAAGCCAAACATATAGCACTTCACTTCATATAAGATAGGTTTAAGAGACATGAAAACTTGAAAAAAGGAGCAAACTCGGGTTATAGTATATTTGTAACAACAACACTTTTGAAATAAAACTTCATATATATAGGATGAGTATAATTAAGCAAATGGCCTATGATCAAACCATAAAATACAAATTATTAAGACATACGTATACAATACCATACAAATAACAAACCATACTAACTAAGATAAAAGATCGAACAACTTGACAGCACGCGACCGGCACGTACTGCATGTGAACAGATTTAAGGGCTAGTGGCTGAAGGTGGTGGGGAGAGAAATGGGATGGAGGGAATTGTAGTAGGGATATTGATAGGGATCCCTGAGGGGAAGCTTGGCAATGGAGGCAATGTAACCTTAGGGATCGTTGGCATAGTGGGGAAACTTGGCAGTGGAGGTAGCTGTGTTGTGGGTTTAGGTAGCGATGGCTGGTTGATTGGCAAGTTTGGTAAAGTGGGTTGTGGCAGTGTTGGCAGAGGAGGTAAAGGTGGCAGTGTTGAAGGAGGTTTAGGCAACATCGGTGGCAGTGTTGAAGGAGGTTTAGGCAACGTCGGTGCACCGGTCTGCAAAAGATTACGCCCCGCTACGGTGACATGGATGCTGGATGAGCACAAGATAACGAAGATAGCTAAGAAGCAGTACTTGCAAGAGGCCATTGGTTCAAGCTAGCTCTCTCAAAATGATTTGGAAGTAATTCTAATGAGTATGATTTGGCCGGTTTATATAGCCAGCCAAGTGAAAATGTTTATGGTTGTGTTGTTGTTGATTTTCTCAGATACAGATATGAAAAATTTGACGACCTATTTTAGATGTAGTTGTTGGTCTTGTTGTTGTTCACCTTCTGGTTGACAAGGGTTGGGATTGGCTAGAGCTAAATGACTCAATACTTATAGCTTTAAAATATTGACTTGCGTGATCAAACAACTCTTTCGATTAGCAAACCTAGCTATTAGGTTATCTAATTTAGCTCATTGTGATATTGTGAACGCCACGACATCTGTTTGTGATAATCTGAATTAGTATTAGGCCACGTGATGGGGCTTTAATCTCATCCTTCAACAAAACTCGACATCTACTCCATCATATATCCAATAGATTTTTTTTATTATCCCTTTTTTTTTTTTATAATCTCAAATATTTCTCCTCCCTATATATATTCTAGAATTATATATATATGGAGCAAAGTTTTTATATAGTAATTTTCCAATGGGTCATACCATAGTAAAAAAGTATATGTTTGGCCTAAGACCAATGGCCTCATCGGGTTTGAAACCCTTAGGCAAGAGAGAGAGAGAGAGAGAGAGAGGGGTTGCTAGGTGGCTGAGCTAAGTTGTGGCAAGGGGTGGGGTGGGGTGGGGTTGGGATTGGTGGGTAGAGGAGGACGGTTGAGGCTACTTTTTGTTATAAAAAATTTTTTGTATAAAGTTATTTTATTTTTAATTACTTTTATTTTTCCATTTTATGTATTTAATTTTCATTTTACTCGAAATTACAAATTTACCATTAGTATTTACGGAAAATTGGATACATTGACTATTTTGATAAGTTCAAGTGATGAGTTATCTGCACATGGGGTGGCAGCTCAATACAAAAGTGGACTAAGCTCTCTCCCTCCCCCCAAGTGCATCCAGGTTCGATTCACGTAAGAGACAATCTTGAGACAACCCAATATAATACTCTCCCTCCCTCTCCTCAACGAATAACAAAACAAAAAAGTGATAAATTGTCACTATGCAAAAAATCACCTTAGGCAATGGAGGAGGAGTATTATATTGGGGAATAAGCAATAAGCAATAAGCATCGTTTCTAAATTATCAATGTTGTCATTTCATGTATTGGGCATCAAATTTTACCAAGTTTGTCTTATAACGAAGAAGAGGCATCACCCATAGTATTTGTTAAGTTTCTATTACAACAGCCAAATTATGTATAAGCTGAATATCCAAAAAGAATACTTCCAAAAGCCCAAAAAGAACACTACCAAAAATCCAATACGAACACTTCCGAAAAACTGAACTTATTTTTTAGTTCAAGTGGGTAAGCTCGACTAGGGAGGGGGGAAACGACACTTTACTTTTATGGTCCTCTAATGTGAGACACTCTCAACACCCCCTCACATGTAGGCTTTTTTGCACTTAATATGTGGACAATTTTTACTGGGTGATGTGGAAGCATGTGAGGTGAGATGCCCAAGATCATTTAATAAATTATTAGGCGAGGCTCTAATAATTTTTCGATGTGGGATTCACACTCTCATCACATGCACATGCATATTCAAAGGAAACATGAAATAGTAGAATCAATATAAAAATAAGAATAAAATTATTTTACAATTTTTTTGATAGAAATTATTTTACATTAATAACAATAACACCAATATACAACAATAATCACACTATGGTCACCTGAAACAAGAAATTAAAGACTTTATCTTATACAGTTGAAATAGCTAAGCAACTTAAACGGATAGAGAAGCATCCACAGATTGTTGAAAATCCTTTAATAATTAAACTTTCACGACATACGAGAAAGACACAAAGGCCTTCCATTACCATAACCCTATTTGATTGAACTAAACAAAGCAAAGATTCAAACTGTGCAAAAAGAACACCAAATGTGTATACGCACATATAAACAGAAAACATATTAAACTCCTGCCTCAACCTCAATTTTACTATTCCACACCCGAAGAAAAACAATATCTTTTTCCATAATGCTATAAAACCCAATATCTTTTAACCGATTGATCATTTTCTTCAACCTCCATTTTACTACACCAAGAGTTTCTTGAAATTTAATTACCTAGTTGTTTTAGGCTTTTTAAAATGGAAATATATTTATTTTTATACATATGGCACTTATGGGTTATATATTTCAACAAAATAATGGGTCCCACTAGCACGTCAGAGTTCTTAACAAAGTTTTTGACATACCTGACAGCAAGGGATGCAATGAGACGTAAAATATTGATTAAGGGTTGGATCACTTTGAATTCCGGGAGGGAGTATGAGATTTGACCATACTTTCAGAGAACCTTGAAGCAATTAAGCTTATATATTATATATATTATGTATATTCAAAAGATGCATGAAATAATAGAGTTAAGATATAAAAAAAAAAAAAAAAAAGAAAGAACAAAATTATTTTACATTAATAAAAACAACAAGAAGATACTACATAACACCATAAACACCTGAAACAGGAAATTAAAGACTTTATCTTAAACAGATAAATAGCTAACTTAAATGGATAGAAAATCATCCACAGACTGTTGAAAGCCTTTTGATGATTAAACTTTCACAACATACACTACTATCAGTCCCTTTTGCTTCCTTTAAGTACTGAAAACAGTGCCTATTGTTGCATTAGGGACTGTTCCATATCAGTCCCTTTTGCTGGGGTCCTCTATTGTTAATATGACACGGATTGTAAATTTCCGTGACTTTTTTTGGCAACGGGTCCCACCTGCCCATCAACCAAATACGCATACATCCATTC